CAGCCCATATCCCTGCAAATGCAACCTATTTGCATTTCTTCTAGGTGTAAATCCAGGCAACTGTGGATGGCTTCCTGCTCACTGACACAGCACCAGCGCGCTTGCCACTTTGTTACCAAATAATAAACTTGAAACAGAGGCCCTGTCTCTGGGCTTCACAGGAAGCATGACTCATATCTCTACCCACCAGGGAGGGCAAAGGCAGAGAGGCACTTATCTGCTTTAAAAGCTTGTTAGCCTCAACTTTGTGACATATTTGAGAAACAGTCGACTTTCCCTTCAAGCATGGCTAAGGGCTCAAGGGCAGTTTGGCTCCAACAAGGGAATTAACAATGCTCTGCACCCAGCCTGGAAGAACTCCCCGACCAGGATTTTGCAATTCTGCACTTACTTTTGTGCATCTCTGATCTTAAGTCACGATTGTTTTTTTGAAGGGGGAGTGTTGAAATATACACAGTGACTTGAACAGTAACAGCTATGATTGGGTGTACATTCAGGTTAGTGGACAGTTTGATGCTCAGGCTACAGCTTCATGTACTGCTGGTTAGTTCATTTTTCTTGTTTGAGGAAAACAGCTGCAGCAGTGCCAGGGTGCATATTTCTAACCGTAGGATTTGGGATAGTCAAACTTTTGCCTTTCTCCAGCTATGGAATCAAAGTCCTAGTCTGTGCTGATTGGACAAGATGAAGTCATGTCTCTGCCTCTGAACCAATTGCTGAAGGCCATGGATGAGGGGGGGCTGGGCTCTGCTGGGCCTGTGAATGGTGAGATTGTATCAGTGACTGGGCTAGGCTGGTCAGCCCTCTGCCCCAGGGCTAAGAGGTACTGGTGGCCAATGACAGCTACAGCTCAGGTCTATAGCTTGGCACTCATGTGCCCTTGTCTGGACTGTGTGCCTGTGTCCTGGTCTGATCTAAGGGCTTTGGGCTGGTGATTCCAGCAACCTTATCTTCAGGGCTTTGCCCGATCTCCTGATCTGACCCTTCAGTGTGTGTTGATGTTCCTTTGAAAGGGGTTGTTTTCTGCAAAACTACTCCTGGACTTTTGGGGTGTGTGTGTGTGTATGTGTGTGTGTGTGTGTGGTCTCCCTTCAAAAATTCAAACGTAGTTCATGTAACCTCATTCCAACACCAAAAATAATTCAGTTACTTTCAATGCCATATGGAATAAATAAATTTTTCAAAACAAATCAAACTTAATTCCCTGTAAAAATCCTCAGCATTGGTTACTCTGATTAAATATGCAAGGGCAGCAAGGGCCAAGGCTATTGGCAGGTCTATAAAGGAGAAATGAAAGGAATTAGAAGGCAAGAGACTGAAGTCACTTTGTGAGTTAGAAAGTGATGGCAGAACTGTTATTTTTATAACTTCCCAGAATAAAAAAAAAATAGACATGCAGCTGAAAACTGGCTGGTGATCACAGCCTCGCAGGCCGAGCCAGGGCGCGTGCACTGTGTATTTTAGGGAATGGATGGCTCATCCAAACTCGAACTTCCGTTAGAAGCTGTCGAGAGTCACCGAAGTTGGAGGGAAATCTTACCACCCAGCTCAACTCGATCCAGGGCACAGACATGGATGCAGCAGGCACTATGTTAGCATTGAAAAAGGTGATGAAGACACGGGACGAATTAAGTCAGCTTTCAAGGAGCTTACGATATGAAGGAAATGAGGCAGCCTTCTCACAATAGGAAATACTTTTGAGAACCCCGGGCTCATTTTAGCGGTGGTGACTGTGCCTTGTGGTGGAGGTCAGTATTGCTATCTACCACGTGTAAGGAAACGTATCTATGCCAGTGAGTCTGGGATTTTATTCTCTCAAAAGACAAAAAAAAAAAAAAAGCTAAACTTTGTAATTTTTAATACACAAAGTTCATAACAGGACAGGAAGCTAACATGTAGTTTTTCAAAACCCTGGTCCCAGGTGACAGATCCAAGGTGCACGGTGAGCAGTTTCGGGTGGAGCCTGTCCAGGCCCTGGACCACACGAGGTCTGTGAAATCATTTGGTCTGACCCTGCCAAGGCACCTGCAGGTGGGACTTGAAATTTTGTAAATCTATAGCAGGCTAATTTATCAGTAGAGAATTTTGTATGGCCAGTGAACGGTGTTATAATTACCCAAATGGCCCATGGCAGAGAAAAGTTTCCCGCCCCCGTAACATGACAGTAAAGGGTGTTCTTTGTCTCTCAACATGTGGTCTCCCAGGAACCACCCCTGGACCAGGGCATTTTGATCAGACATCCAAGTCAGACAAAAGTGAAAAAAGCCCAGATTTTCAGCTTCTGGAGACGTCGTGGTGGAATCATTGTGCGGCTGGATTTTAATAACCCGATAACAAGAGACTGTGCTCTCTAGAGATGCTTATGGGGGAAGAAATGGATCCACGCCTGTATCAAGACAGGCCTGTATCAAAACATTTGCTGTTTTCTGCAAATAGTTGTCGACTGCCAACTTTGTGTTAGTCCAGAGAGCGATGCGGTTCAAGGAGATGCAGTGTGTCTCCTCAGGAGCTTATGATCAAACAAGAAAAACAGATTCATCATGAGATGCAGCATGATGGGATGGGTGCTCTAAAGCAGATCTGAGAAGGGAGAAGCAGAAAGAAAGGGAGACATGGAACTGGGGATCCCACGGACAACAATACCTGAAGCACGGATGGACTTACCAGTATGAAAAGAGAATTCTGTTAGCACAGGCTCAAAAAAAATTTAGGTACACATCCCACTGAAATGAGATTCAGTTTGATCTTTTCTCCTGTGTATTGGTTGTCTCCAAAATTTTGATTGTGCAATGTGTCAGAAATCATTCTTGAATATTAACTTCCAAGACAGGTGTATTTCTGTAGTAGATTATTGACATACAATATTATAAATATAGGTAATGTTCAAGTTACATGTGAGTAAGAAATAAACAACAACAAGAGCAATAACAATAATTGTTACCATTAATTGATCAATAAAGTTTTTTGGGGGTTGGTGTTGTGGTGTACTGGGTAAAACCGCTGCCTGCGACGCTGGCATCCCATACTGCGTCTAGCTCATGTCCTGGCTGTTCCACTTCCAATCCAGCTCCCTGCTTATGGCCTAGGAAAAGCAGTGGAAAATGACACAAGTGTTGGGGCTACTGCCAGCCATGTGGGAGACCTGGATGTAGTTCCTGGCTCCAGGCTTTGGCTTGACCCAGTTCTGGGGGAGTGAACCAATGGAAGAGTTCTTTTTCTCACTGTCTCTCCTCTCTCTTTGAAACTCTGACTTTCAAATAAATAATTCTAGATACATTTTGTGATGCATATACCCTTTGTAGCAACCCTCATGGCTAGTCCTCTTAATCTTATTTTATCAATGAGGAAAAGGTCGGTGTAAATGTGCATTTTAGCTTTATCTGCACTCCATGTGTGGGCCATCTTGCACACACAAACTCTCTGCAGTAGACACTATAGGGACTGGTATCCTTTGTCACAGCATCTAAGTGTGGCTGTGACACTCAGGACTTTTGTTGAATATTACAGGTTCTGGAGGGCGTCTGTGGATGTGTGAGTGGGATGTGTCTGAGGGTGGCAAAATCCATGCTATGTGTCATCGGCTGTTTCTTCCTGCTTCTGGATTCTCACAAAATGGTTTTAGTTTTCTGTACTGTGATTAAGCAAGTACCCTTGGGAACCTGACACCCTGTATGGCGGTTTGAATGCAGATGTGGTCCAGACTCCCTTCCTTAGCTAGAGTTCTCCTTGCCCTGTTTTTCTGATGGCGAATCAAGCTCTTACTAAAATTAACTCACTGCATCGAGGGAGTGGGCAGCTATGAGGTCATTTGTTTCTCCAAAAAGCAACATGCTGATGGTGAATTGGGTCCCCAAGGCTTTTATTTTGGGAGGGAGCAGGAAGTATCTCCCACCTGCAAATCCCACCAAATCCCAGACTAACTGGAGCCCACTTCTCCATCATAAAGAACAGGTTATCACTGACCAACCAGGAAAGGCCAGGAGCACCACATACCAATCAGGAACTTGGACATGAGCTGAACTTGCACCTCCCAGTCCCAACTTCCATCCATAAGAACTTGACTCCTATCTCTTGGGGAAGTCCTGGAATAAAGCAATCACCAGCCAGTTGCTTCATCTGTGCTCGGAGATAAATCTGCCTCCTCAATACCCGTGATTTGCTTTCTGCCCATCAGGTGAGCTGACAGTTTTGAGAGTTGTTGTATATCACTCTCAGGATGTTTATATCTTTACTAAACTTGACCTTTACCTGCTACAGATTAAGGAAGGTATAAAGGAGAAGAGATTTCGTGGGTGCCGGAAACTATAGGAGAATAAAAGCAACTTTTACTTACCTGTTGTTAGGTTCATAGCTAAGATCCTTATAACAAAGGACATATTAATAAGAGGAAAGCACAGCAATTTATTTAAAGTACATTCTACTTGAGACAAGAGTCTCCGGAAATGACGAGAAGGAAACAGGGGAAGCTGTGTGTTTTGGTGCTTCGGCTCCCGAAGAGTGGACGGTTGTGCCGAGATACGGGGGATATGATGCTGTGGTAATAAACTGGGGGTCCTTAGCAAGGCCTGCTTGTTAGAATTCTTCTCTTGTTCTCGTCACCTTGCAGGTGAAGATGCTGTCTTCTTCTGGTGTAGGGAGGCCGCCTCTGGGTGATGGCCTTCTTGCTATGGGAATGTGTCTCCTAACTCTTGTATTCCAACTTCTTCTTCCCCGACAGCGATAGGAACTCAAAGCAGAGACATCCACGCAGAGCATGAGAGAGCAGCACTTAGTTGCAGTGAGTGAGTGAATGTCCATTCACACGTGGGTATGGGCCACACTCCGAGAGCTGCCCACGAGGAGACTGTGAAAGGAAGCCAGAGAAGGCCCAACAACAAGGGCGACTACAAAGGCACAGGGAGTGGTCCCCTAATTGGACATACAAAAGGGGTGGAGCTGGGGCAAGGTTTTGTGTCTATGGGGCTTGCTGCAGATCTTAACTTCAAGGAGGCCCTTTTGCCTCCGGACTTCTCTGGGGCCAGCAGCCGCCCGACTAGGGGCCCGGGGCCGCGGGCTCTGCCGACGACCATGGGCTCCGTGTCCAACCAGCAGTTTGCAGGTGGCTGCACCAAGGCGGCGGAGAAGGCGCCCGAGGAGGCGCCGGAGGACGCGGCCCGGGCGGCGGACGAGCCGCAGCTGCTGCACGGGGCCGGCATCTGTAAGTGGTTCAACGTGCGCATGGGGTTCGGCTTCCTGTCCATGACCGCCCGCGCCGGGGTCGCGCTCGACCCCCCGGTGGACGTCTTTGTGCACCAGAGTAAGCTGCACATGGAGGGCTTCCGGAGCCTGAAGGAGGGTGAAGCAGTGGAATTCACCTTCAAGAAGTCCGCCAAGGGCCTGGAATCCATCCGTGTCACCGGGCCTGGTGGGGTGTTCTGTATTGGCAGTGAGAGGCGGCCAAAGGGGAAGAGCATGCAAAAGCGCAGATCTAAAGGAGACAGGTGCTACAACTGTGGAGGTCTAGACCATCATGCCAAGGAGTGCAAGCTGCCACCCCAACCCAAGAAGTGCCACTTCTGCCAGAGCATCAGCCATATGGTGGCCTCGTGCCCCCTGAAGGCCCAGCAGGCCCCCAGCGCCCAGGGAAAGCCAGCCTACTTCCGGGACGATGAAGAGGAGATCCACAGCCCTGCCATGCTCCCTGAGGCCCAGAATTGAGCCACAGGGGGTGGGGGCTGGTTTTTTGGCTATCAGGAAGTTTCAAGGAGCAGGCATCAACTGCAGAGTGGAGAAAGTGGGGACAGGGTGGGTTGGGGGGAGCTGGCATTGCCACGTATCCCAGGCTGGGGTTCACAGCATCACCCCTTTTTCCCTTATGCCGGGAGGAAGGAGTGAGGCAGGGAATTCCAACCATGCTATATCCAAATGCAATTAAGGGGTTTGGGGGGGGGTATCACCCTGTAGCCTGCATGCTTTATCTGAGGCCCGGCGTGCCAAATCTCTAGCTTTGCAAAGTCACCTGGATGGGGGAAGTGTTCCTTTGAAGAAAGGATATGGAATAATACTTCCCTAGCCAGGGTGAGAAGACTGGTTGTGGGACCAGATTCCTGGACCCAACCCCCAAACCACTACGTCCTGTGGGAGGGACTCTCGGGAGTAAGGCAGGGTTTTCCACATCTTGTTTCCTCATAACTCGATCCTGGGACAGGGTGCTGGGAACTGTCCCAAGCAGTGGGTTGTGACGATCGGCAAAAAGGGTGGCTAGGGGAACAGTCACAGACCCGCTGCTCCTGAGCTCACTCCTGACCCCATTCTGGGCCAATGCGATTTATTTATTTGCTCCCTTGGATAACTGTACCTTGGGTCCCACTTTCTCCAGGATGCCAACTGCACTAACTATGTGCGAACGACGTATCTTGTGCATTTGAACTTTTTTTTTTTAATATAAATAGTCTGGGTTTGTATTTTTGTATATTTTAATCAAAGGCCCTCATTCCTGCACTGTGTTCTCAGGTACATGAGCAATCTCAGGGATAAGTCCGCAGCAGCTCCAGGTCTGCACAGCAGGAAGGCTTTTTGTTGTTTTTATCACCATGGAGAGCAACTATTTGGAGTGCACAGCCTATTGAACTACCTCATTTTGCCAACTGGAGCTGGCTTTTTTGCCACAGTGTCCTCTTGAAACCCCCTCCACCTTGAAAATGTTTCAGGGAGATGAAGTGTTAATGGGGTTGTCCCATGATTGAGCTCCTCCTCCCGGAAGATTGAAAATTAGTCTGGACAGGAAAATGCAGAGAAGTCAGGCCATGCCAGCTGAAAGGCCCAGAGAGGAAGCCATGGTCAAGGTTGCCTGATCCTAGGACACAGGTCTTTTGCTTCACTTAACAGAGCCATCCTTCACCAACCAGATTTAGGCGAGGCCCACTATGCACAACAGGGTGTGTGTGTTTGTGTGCACACACGCGTGTGTGAAAAATGGGAGCTGGTAAGGATGAGTTGAAGACCAATACCCCTGTACCCATCCTGTGCTGTCCAGGGGTGAACATGAAGCAAGGACTAAAAAATCCTTAACCTTCCCAAATTCTTGGCTTCCAGGGAGACCCATAAGTGAGGGCCTCGGTGGTGGTGTCCAGAGCCAGTGTCCTGCCCTGCGACTGTAGTGATGACTGTCATGGTAACTAAAGGAGAAGGGGGTTTCATGTACATGCTGAGAGATCACCGCAACCTACCTCACTGTGTTGAAACGGGACAAATGCAATAGAACGCATTGGGTGATGTGTGTCTGGTCCTGGGTTCCTGTCTCCCCCAAATGCTGCCCCCCTTCAGTTATTGTATTGTCTGGGCTTTGTAGGACTTCACTGCGTCTCTGAGTTGGTGATTGCTAGGTGGCCTAGTTTGTGTAAATATAATGTGTTGGTCTTTCTCCATGTTCTTTTGGGGTTTTATTGTTTACAAACTTCTTTTTGTATTGAGAGAAAAATAGCCAAAGCATCTTTGACAGAAGGTTCTGCACCAGGCAGAAGGATCTGAAACACAGGAGGCTCTCTTCTTGAAGCGGGGATCTTAAGCTGTCTTTGGCGTTCCCCTTCCCCTATCCTATTCTGGATCTCTGTCCTTAAAATTTGACTCCTAACCTACCCTCTTCTCCATTCCCCCACCCACACGTAAACACTGAACCCTGGGTGTCTCCACACATCTAAAGGATTCATGCAAAAATCCTGAACAAAATAGGAAGCTCCGCCCCTTGTTCCCAACCTCCTGAGTCAAGACCATTTCCTGATGGGACTCATGCCAATGACTTAAGACACTGATGCATTTGGATGGGTCAGACCTCAATTTATCCGAAAGAAGAGAAGCTATTGGGCACCTTCTGTGTAGAAAAGGGGTTTGGAGGTCAAGAAGGGGACTATGAATGTACGTCCAAGGCACTCAGGAACTTTTATGCAGGTGCAAGAAACTTATGTCAAAGTGGCCATAAGATTGTTTGATAGGAGACGGACGAATGTAACTCCATGTTTACTGCTAGAAACCAAAGCTTTATGTGAAATCGTGAATTTATGGGCGGGCGGGAGGGAGGGTAGGAAAGCTTGCGTCTGTTCTTTGGCTGACCCCCCCCCCCATTCCTGAACTGCAGGAGAATAAGCCCCCTTGGGTTTGGTGACCCCACCACTGGGGAGTGTGTATTTGAAGGTTGATTTTTGCTGTACTGGGTTCCTCCTTTCCCATTTTCTAATTGCTTTGTAACACATATGCTGACTCTCCCCATCCCTTCTCCTTTCCCTGGGGAAATACAATGAATAAATCAAGACTTATTGGTACTGAAAAAAAAAAAAAAACAACAAAACTTCAAGGAGGCCATCTTGGAATCTCTTCCTTCCTGGTCCCAGATGAGACAGAGGTGCATCATGGGAAGTAGAGATAGTGGATTGACAGGTGAAGAGTGGAGTTACAGTGCAGGGCTGCCTGGAACTCTTTCATCTCATTTGTTCCTAGCTAATCTTTCTGCCTGTTTATCCCATATCGATATGTCCTACATCAGTGGATGGTCAGAGTTCTTTTCTGGCCTGGTAGGAGAAGGCAAGAGAGAATGATCTGCTTCTGCTGTCTTCTCAAATGCCAACATGCCATGATTCGGGGTAGTATGTCCTGCATGGTGTCACAGTTCCCTCCATTATCTGGTATCCATGCTTTGGTGCTAAAAATGGTGAGAATGTGTTCTATAAAACCAATGGCTTCAAAAATGCTTTCAAAATTGTTATTGATTGGGCAACTTGCTGTTATTTTCAAAACAGTGTTTTATCCAAATCATAGATTTGTGTCATTTTCAATGTATTAAACTTGGGGTGGGGGAAGAAAAACCCAGGGAAAAGTCCTGGGTATGGATTTCACCATGCAAAGGGCACCTGGTTCTGATTCGCACGAACGTCTTTGGAAGTTTGCAGATAGCATCACTGCTTCTGGACAGTTCCCACCCCTCTCACCCACCCACCCCTCCCACATCAGCACATGTTTTCATTATATTTGGTAACGTTAGTTCAGCCTGGTTTCTTTGAAGGCTGCTCATTGACCTCTAGATAGGACAAACTGTTAAGCACTTTATGTGAAGATTTCTCATAATTTTCTTTGAAAGCCAACATATTTATAGAAGCCTGTTTTTATAGCTCTCCTTCTTTTATATCTTCTAAGTTAAGACTACATTGTGTTATACAGTCTTTGAAAGTTACAAAAGCAATGATTATTCCACTCACTGCACTGCAAAACATGCCAGCTAGCCATGCAGGCTTATTTTTTTAAAAAAAAATTACTTATTTATTTGAAAATCAGAGTTACAGAAAGAGAGAGAGAAAAAGAGGGAGAGAGAAAGAGAGAGAGAGAGAGAGAGAGAGAGAGAGAATCTTCTATCCTTTGGTTCACTCTGCAGATGACCGAAACAGCCAGCTTTGGGCCAAAGACAGGAGCCAAGAGCTCCATATGGGTCTCCCACATGCATGGCAGGGGCCAAAGAACTTGGGCCATCTTCACCTGTTTTTCCAGGTGCATCAGCAGGAAGGGAGCTGGATTGGAAGCAGAGCAGCTGACTCAAACCGGCTCTCCAAAGTGGGATGCCTCTGTGGCAAGCAGTGGCTTCACCTGCTGCCCCAAGAACACTGGCCCCTTCACGTAGAAATCCAAGTGCTGTAAAATGCATGCTTGGATACGTTTGTCAAGCTCCAGTACTGGGGTCAGCATTGGAGGTGACGAGAACATCAGAGAATGTGCATAGGTCAAGCACATGGGAGGTCCTCTGATCTGCAGTGTGGCTGGAAACACCCAGACCATGCAAAGTGCTGTGCTGCTGCTCCTGGGCTGTGGCATTCTGGGAGCAAAATGACACTGGAAGAAGGCAGCTCAGAGATGAGGACCTGATGGGGGAGGCGGGGAGGAGGAATCCGCCATCCTAGCCATGTAAAAAATTTAAGGTTTTGGATATAGGTACCTGCAGAAGATCTGAATGTAAATCCTCATGTGGTTTCTTTATTTGAATCCTGCTGATAGCTAACTCTTATTGCCTAGAGTTGCATTTCAGTCTCTGGGACCACACCCAGTACCTGGCAGCTCTGAGTAAATGGGCAGTGAGAGTGTAGTGTCCCAGGAGGACCATGAGCCCTGCAGGCTGAGTGCTTGCTTTATTTTTTTTTAAGATTTATTTATTTTACTTGAAAGAGTTACACAATGAGAGAAGCAGAAGGGGAGAGAGAGAGAGAGAGAGAGAGAGAGAGAGAGAGAGAGAGAGAAAGGTAGGTCTTCCATCTGCTGGTTTACTCCCCAATTGGCTTCAAAGGCCAAAGATGTGCTGATCCGAAGCCAGGAACCAGGAGCTTCTTCCAGGTCTCCCAGGTGGGTGCAGGGGCCCAAGGACTTGGGCCATCTTCTACTGCTTTCCCAGGCCATAGCAGAGAGCTGGACCAAAAGTGGAGCAGCTGAGTCTCGTACCGGCACCATATGGGATGCCAGCACTGCAGGCTGGGGCTTTAACTCGCCTCCTCACAGCGCCCACCCCTCAGTGCTTTCTTTAAGAACTGGCCAGGGGGTCCTTAAAGTGACAGATGTGGTTTCTGAGATCCTCAAGGGGAGATTCCAAAATTAGAAACCTTCTAGTGATAGTGCTGGGAGGCTGTCTGCTTCTTTTTACCATGTTAAAATTTGCAATCAGGGTGAGAAATTAATGGTGCATAATATTCCTGGTGGTTTAGCACAATGAAAGGCAGTAGTACCATATCACATCTGAAGTTTTTCATTGAAAATTTTTATTAAATCTCAGGATGCATTTTTTTTTTTTTTTGGACAGGTAGAGTTCCAGACAGTGAGAGAGAGAGAGAGAGAGAGAGACAGAGAGAAAGGTCTT